AGAGCTCAGAACAGAACCTTTGTTCCATTCATTACATCAAAGGAAATAAAAATTTGTATAAAGATTCAAATGCATAACTTTGCTGTTGGTACTTCTGGCTTCCTGTAACAAAGTATGGCCAGAGTGCAAGTAGCCATAATACAAGCATAAACTCATACTCTGACTATTAGGATGATATGCCATGGCCCCTAAAGAAGTTATGGAGCTGCTTACTCATAGGAAAGGAAAATAAACCCCTCATCTTGTTTAAGCTAGAGTTACTTTTCTTACATAAGTAGCTATACTTGGTCCTAACGGTTCAAGATATCAAAATACATCACACATATTGCTGCATATCACTGAGTTACTGAAAATTAAAATTTATAAAATTAGAGCTATCGAAGTAAGAAAATAACATTACAGATCCAGTAATGTCTATGCACTATTGCAGGCCTCTACTTTAGCAGAAAATTGAGCAATTCTTTGTTTTAAGCTGTCTGATCTTATCACTACATGCAAACCAGTATGTTAATGGTTTACTCCCTTTCTGTTTTATGCTTCTGAGAGTGACATTCCCTTGCTTTTGCATGAACATTGTGGCACTAAGATACCAGGATGCTCTGATGTTGAGATCCCATGCACTATGCCAATGCACCTTTAAATTTCAGTGCATAAAAACCACATGGGTGCTTATCAATGTTAAAAACTAACATTTCAGAACTACTATAGAGATTTTGAATTAGTTGTTTTGTGGCAATCACTAGTCAGTCTCCTTTTGAAAGTGACTTCTTAGAAGCCCTATGCAACAACTTCCACCTACAATCCAATTAATAGTTTCTAGTATCCATCCAAAGAAAGCAACAAACTATAGTTTGGGCTGAATACACTGCAATCTTCAACAAAAATGGAGTTTCACTGCTCAGGAAAAAAAAAAGGGGATAATCCATCTGGTATTTAATATTTGGCTGTGGGAAATTTAGCCATCTTTTTGAAAGCCTCAGTTTTCTTGTCTGTAAAATAAGAACCAATAACTACCACTCAAGATTGTTTCAGTGTTTGTAGAGGGCATCATGTAAAGGATTTGATACATAACAGAGATTTAATAAATGAAGTGATTCACAAAAAAGATTCAATTGCAATCAGTAGAGCAGCATGAAGGCATTTCTGCTATAATGTGTTAAATGCTTCTGTAAAACAACCTTTTGCAAAATGTGTACTAAGTGACAGGACTGATAGGGCAAATGGAGAATGAGCTACTGGGAGACCTTTGTAACCATTTTTAGCTACAGATTTAGCAGAAATGATTGTTGGTTCATGGAAAGGTTCTCATGCAATAGGAAGTTCCCATGCTGGGTATTTAAAACTCTCAGAAGTGTTAAACTCATAGATGTAAAAAACAGAATAGTGGTGACTAGGGCCTGGGGCTCGGGCCTGGGGCCTGGGGAGGAGAACAGAAGGAATCGGGAAATGTGGTAAATTTTATGTTATACAGGAAGAACACATTTTTGAGAACCTTTACATGGAAAGAGGATCATAATTATTAATAATGTATAGTTACAAATAGTTGCCCATAAATTTCAGGTGTCTCACCACAAAAAAAGGAATGGCTAACTTCCCTTAGGTGGATATGTTAATTGCTTGACTAAGTCACTTCATGCTGTATACGTATATTAAAATATTATATAGTAGCTCATAAATATTTACAATTATAAAAAAATAAAGTTAAAATATGAATTTCAAAAGGTACATGTTAACTGTTTTAACACACATCTAATAAAATCCCCGGAATTTTGATGATTTTTATGCTGGCAACTCTTCTTTCTCCTGGAGCAGATCAGGTGAGAAGTAGATGATACAGTTGGTGGGAAGCCTGGTGCGCTGCTCTTAGGTGTCCTTTTGGGGCATAGAGCATCCTGCAGGTCCGTCTGTTCTCTCCAGGAAAGCATCTGTGTACCGTGCTGGCATAAATTTTCTTTTGATAAAGCTAAAGCATTCCTTTTTTTTTTTTTCTAGTGAAAATCTCAAAGCCAAGAACACTTTTCTCCTCTGCTGAAAGTTATGTTTCTATTCCTACTATGCCCCTCCTCTTGCCTGGGAAAAACTGTGTTTAAATTATTACCTAAATTATTCCCCTACTGACCGGTAGTGTATGAGCTAAGTTCCAGTACCATAGTATATGTGCCATATGAGCAGACTGCAGATTAAATCAGCAGCATCTGACTATACATGTAGTTCCTTCTTGTAAGGAATTTGGCAAATATAGAAAGGTACACAATAAAATTAATATCAACTGATAAATAAAAACTGTGAAAAATTATGATGTATTTCCTTCTGGTCCTTTGTGTGTGTGTTATAAAAATTATTTGTACTGTAGAAGCAAATACATATCCTTTGTATTTATTTATGTCCTACGTATATTTCCATTTATTTTTTTCTCTCATTGAGTTTATTGGAACATTTTAGGCATACAATAAATTCATCATTGCGATACATATGTTTCCATTTAAAAAAATAGAAATAAAAATTTGAACAATGATTTATTTAATAAAACCTGTATACAGATTAAGTTAGTATATATGCAAAAAAACCCAAAATTTGGATAATGGGGTTTTATTTATTTATTTATTTTGCTTTTTTTCCTCTCATTGAGTTTATTGGTACATTTTAGGTATACAGTACAGTTACATTCATCATTGGGATCGTGGACCTTTACATGACAGATCTTGGTTCTCTTTTTTTCCCCTTGTTCCTGCCTTCCCTTCACCCTCTCCTCTCCTCCCCATTTACAAACTTTATTTCCATTTCCTCATATTCTTTTCTTTTCCTTTAGTAGCTTTCCCCTACCCTTTCCACTTACCCTACACCTTTAGCCCTTTTCTTACTATTTCACATTGTCAATTATCTTATTAGGATCTTATGTACTATTATAGTTTTTCATACCAGAGAAACAATTCGGTATTTACACATGTGTGACTTATAATGGCAATTATTTATTTATTCACATTTTCCCTTTATTTTATTTATTTATTTATTTAAATTTTTATTGAGTTTATTGGTACAATCTAGGTATACAATACAGTTACATTCATTATTGGGATCCTGTACCTTTACATGATAGGTCTTCTCATTTTTTCCCCTTGTCCCTGCCCTCCCTTCACCCCCTCTTCCCCTCCCCATTTACAAACTCTATTTCCATGTTTTCTTTTTCTCATATTTTTTCCCTCTCCCTTATTACCTTTCCCCCACCTTTCCCACTTTCCCTACACCTTTAGCCCATTACTTCCTTTTTCACATTATTCATTATCTCATTAGGCTCATGTGTACTATTATAGTTTTTCACACCAGAGAAACTATTTGGTATTTCAGTTAAAGAAATCTCCATATGAACATTAAAAATAGGGAATCCTAAAATAAAACTTAAAACTAAAAATTTTAGAGAATACTTTATTAGTTTCTGTAATCAAACCCACATAGATATGACCTTACATATCTAATACAGTGCATTACCCCTGTAGAAATGGAAAAAAAATTAACATTTCTAGACCAATATGGCTGTTAATGTTGTACAATGCCAACTCATCACAGTTAATTGGGATAACTTTTTCCAAAATTGACAGCACAGTTAAAGTTTCCAAAAATTCAAATTATATATATATATATATATATATGTATGTATGTATATTTATATTTATATTTATATCAAAAGACCAATAATAGCAGTATGTTATGCATCAATAGCAGCAACAGCTTTTCCAGGTTCTGCAGTCATCTGAACAAAATTATAGACATTCAGCACGCTCCATTAAAAAAACAAAAACAAAAATATAAAGAGTAAAATAATATTTAAATTGTGGCAATAAGAGTCTTCATATATGAATGATCATGTCATTGATTAATTCTTTAGTTTGAGATGTTAAGTAGGAAATTACTAGGTAAGTGAGTTTAGATACTCTTTTAAAAATTATCTAATATTAAACTTTCAATTCTTTTGATTTTTAAACATAAAGACCTTAATATAAGAAAAGTAGCCAATGGTGAAATAGGTATTGTGGCCTTCCTTTACCATAGACATAACATTTATTCAAATGATAGCACACCACTAAGCCTTTTTTGTTAAGTTTAAGCTTTGATTAGTTAAATACATTTGTGATAATCAACAGATCAACAGATACATAGTGTGTCTATATCATGTATACAGGATAAACCAAGTATCAAAAAAATCAATGAAATTGCTATCTTTTCAACTCAATTCTAATTCTCCACATGAATTTGTTGCACATCTCTTCACTTGTCTTTTCTTTTGCCTTGTGATCATGCCTGGCACTGATTCCACTTTGATCTCTACACCTACACCTAGTTAGTCACTCTGTGATACCAAAAATTTCTGTAAGACTTCTGAGGCAATTTGAGTGAGGAGAGGAAACATAGTCCTTTGGGATCTGTCCTTCTAATTCTGAGATTCTTTGCATATAATTATGTGTGAAATGGTTGACACAGGCTTGAAGGCAGAGAATGTCTTATCTGAGTCCTAGCTTTGTCCTCTTGGGCAATAAATGCTTGCAGCCAGGATCTCTTCCTGGCTGTAGTATGTGCAGTAAAACCAGTGACAATTGGGGGTATGTGCAAATGATTGATACTGATTGCTTTTAAAAGATAACGTGCAGCTTAGAATTGTTTTGAGAATAATGTAGACCGAACTTAGTTGGGGAATGTCTCAAATGGAATGAAATTACTCGTATTAGATATAGAGGATTTAGCTTCTTTCCATTACAGTTGCTAAGGAAATGGAGTTCGGCGGGGAGGGTTGCTTCTGTCAACCATTTGTATATTTATAGAAAAAAAAACCCAAGTGAGTCCAACAAAATAGAGGCAGATGTGTGTGCTAAAGATCTATCCATGATTATTAAACACATGTCATAGAAGACCTCACTGAAGACAAAAAAGGGCTACTTCCACTACTTTGTTATTTTTTAAAGTTATTAACAATAATGTGAAAGCTGATTTTCTCCCTCTCTTTTCAGCCAGCATATGTCCCAAGGAAGCTAATCCCAATAACAATCATCAAGCAAGGTATTCAGTCTATTCTAGATGTGTATGAACTATTTTTGACATACTTTTAACTGAGGTAATGGAAGATGGCACATATTTTCTCAATTTTTATGATTGCTGTTTTTCAGAAAAAATGTTTGAAGAAACTAGTATGGGGTATTAAATAAACAGTTAATAGATGTTTTGACTTTTGTACCAATAGACAAAATTCTGGAAAATCCATTAATATAATATTTGCCTTAGGATATTGGAAATGAAAACTGGTTTATTGTCATTTGGGGATAATAAAGATATCCAGATTTCAAGAATTATAGTGTCTCATTTCATTTCAGTATCTAATGTTTTGTTTTATCTTCCAGTTTTTCAGTTTATTAAAGTGACTTCATTATTTCTAGATAGTTTCTTGGTGGAAGAGATAATGCCTTCAGATAATTCTTCATTTTAAGAAAATGCAAAGTCCTAATTATACTCTCAAAGCAGAGATAGTATTGGAAGTCCCTAAAGATTCTTTGCTTTGAGAATATGTTTCATAATTTTTGTTCTATTTCATCGTCACATTTTATGCTAGTTCTTACTGACTTGGTGAGAGGACAGGATGCAGGGAATGGGGGCAGGAAGGAAATTGTACTCAGAACAGAACAGTTTATGATAGAATAACAAAGATATCATAACAATAAAATTGTTGAGGCGAGAGTTGTCTGTAAATCCTGCTCTGTTGGCTGTGTAATTAGCCTGCTATTTGCTATTTGCTGATAAACTTAGATTAGGACTTTTCCATGGCAAATGTCTTTGCATCATTAGTTTTCCTCCATCACACTAATATCTTTTTATATTTCCACAGTGATTCAGAACGTTACTCACAAAGCTTCAATTAAATCCCCAGATAAGATTCCCTTTGGAGGAACAATATTAGGTAAGTCAATCTGGAAACCTATGCCTAGAATCAGCAAGTCAGACTGTCTTTTGATAATAGGGCCCTTATGGAGTTTTGCACTGAGAGCAGGTGTATTATATCAATGTCAATTCATTTCCTTTAAGTGTTGAACACCCTGGCTTGTGTCTGCTGCAAGCTAAGAGCCAAGAGACACTAGCTTTATCATAGTGTGTTAAGGAAATAGCTCTAGCCCATTCCCATACGAATGCTGGCGCTCATCCTCCCTATCAACAGGGTTTGCAGTTATGAAGGAATCTTTGCATTTTGTACTGGTTCGCCACACATCTGAAACAGCTGTTTTACAATTTGGGGGTCTGCAAATTCAAAGCCAGAGGATTTCAGTAGTTCAGTTCTATATATGAAAAATATTCTGTTTAAAAGCTACAGTCATATTTTCTCAATGTTTTAAATTTAGGGTTAAAATGACTAAGCAAAATAGTGTTAAGATTTCTATTCTAATATGGGATACTCTGAACTTTATTTCATGTCTTGATGTATGTTCTTCCCTTATCTTATTTATACCTATTTCCTTGCAGTCCACCTCATTATTCCAGGTCTTAATGAAAGCACTGTAAAACTTCCTTCATCCATAATGCTTGAGATTTCAGATGCACTCAAGGCACAATTAGGTAAGCAGCACATTTTGTTTTTGATCTTCAATGACTGAGTACGAGAGTCTATATGATAACACACCACTAAGCCTTGTTTGTTAAGTTTAAGCTTTGATTAGGTAAATACATTTGTGATAATCAACAGATCAACAGATACACTACATAGTGTGTCTATATCATGTATACAGGATAAACCAAGTATCAAAAAAATCAATGAAATTGCTATATTCTAGGGATCCAAAAAATTTTGCAAATGAGATAGTTGTTGATTGTAAAGAAAAAAGTTGAGTGAAGGAATTTGGAACATTAGCAATATTTATATAAATCATATTCTGCAGGGAAACATTTTACATTGATATAAAATACAAATATATCTACATCTGTGAAAGAAGAATGATTATCCAAAATATACTCATTTGTATAGGTATAATTTTGAAATTCAGAAGTTGTTATAAATTATATTTGAAAATCAAGATGGGTTCTGAATTGTCAAAGTTTATTAAGCATCAGAAGCCCCTGGAGTACTCTCCCACACGCAGAATTCCGGGACAAATCAGAAATATTACTGGATTCAGCATGTCAGGGATGGTGCCGGGGACCTACATTTCTAACAAGTTTCCAGATAATTCAGACAGTGCTGTCTCACTTTGAGAGCCACCTCTCTTCTGTCTCTGAAGAATGTCTTGGATCATGGGTGAAAACAGAAAATAAGATGGTGTAGTAGAAACTGAATAAGAAGTAAAAAAGATGTTGTTTTTGAGTTAGGTGCTGGCTGGTAACTTAGCATTAACATATAATTGAATTAAAACACTATGGAGAAGAAACAGGAGCCCAAGTTCCAGTTTGGCAGCATGCATTTAACAAATACTTTTTAAGCAATACTTCTTGCCAAAACTGTAAGTTCCTAGGGGCTACAAGCATAGTCCCTGCACATACTAGAACTTCAGAGAAGGCCTTTAAAGGGTCAGGTCAGACCTCCACAATGGAGTAAGAATTAAATGAATGCTTCCTTTGTTTTGGTTGAAAGAGAGAAGAAATGACAAGATATAACAAAAAGATTTTTATTCAATAAAATAGTATGGAAAGTAACCATGGGCTAGGATCTAAGGTGGGCAGAACTGAAGTCAGGCCCAGGCTTTCTTTTCTCATGAAGAGCACAAATCCACTGGGATTTGGTGTTTCTGGTAAAGTGCACATCCATGAAACCAATAAAACATTTCCAATGTTATCCTTTTTCTAATTGCACTCAAGCTTTTCTGAGGAAAAAAACTATCACAAGTAATTAAGCTCCTTTTTTTTTTTTTTTTTTTTTTTTTTTTTTTTTGTCTTTATTCTTTTTCCAGTTTTTCTTCTTTGGGGAGTAGGGCCATGTGAAGATATTAAGTTCTGTCCACACAATGTCAAGCTACTTAATTTTAAGAAATTAAGCAAATATTTAAACTTCACCATATGTTTTTCAAATATCTGGATACTTAGCTTTGTGTACATGTGTCATCAGGACATGGAAGCTAACTTTTTTTAATTTCTATTTTTTGCTTGTTTAATGGTAGGCAACAAGAGTGTAAGAGTTTTAAAAGGCTGAAACTCTTTAGGCCTTCCTAGGTGTTAATTTTCACAAACTATTGGAAGAAGAAGGAAGGAGGCTTTAAGTAGGTAGGACAATACTTATTTGGGGGATTATTTGATTTATAATTTTAGAAAAAAATTCTTAAACAGCAACTTACTAAGATGTGAAAATATTTGCCAAGTTATCTTTGTGATTTAGTGCAACCCTCACTTTTTTTGGTATAAAAAGCCCATACCTGATAGTCCTAGAGTTACCTCCAAAACTACAGTAAGTGACTCTAAACTTCATTTTCTTAATTTATTACATTAGCCATCTCCTTCTCAAGTATAAAATACTGTGACTTAACCCTACTTCATTTAGACATAATACTGTTAGGAAGCTCCTAAATTAAATGTCTTTTGTGAGCTGAGTTTGGAAGAGTCAAATCTCAGAACTTTTGCACTCACTTGTGCAAAGATTATATCCTGTATGTTGTGTTTAGGAAAGACTTGTTTGAAAGGAGAAAAAAATGGAGCCACAGATCTCCAATTAATTTGATCTCCAAAGTGTTGATCAAAAATACAAAGATCAGGGTTTGTGAAGGTGACCAAGAATGACCAGATGTTTCCCAGTGTTGAACCAGAAGATGGAATGTTTTACTCTTTAATCTTGGAGGTATTTCCTTCTTTTTTTGGTTAAATTACATAGACTATCCTAGTAACAATTCAACTTTTTTGTTGTTTTTTTTTCTAACTGGAGGAATTATACTGGCTTTTGTTTTATTTTGGTTTTGCTTTTCTGATATTATTCATAAAAGCATCAAGATTGAGTGTTATTTTAATAAAGAAAAATTAAATGCAAATAAATTAAGTACAGATAAGAAAAAGTATGCAAATAGGAAATATGTTTTATTATCTTGAATTTCTGGGGAAATATCTATCAAATTTAACACATAAATAATTTCTTATGCACTGAAGAGAATGATAGGGCATTTGAAAATGTTCAGTAAATCTAAGAAAATTTCTAACGCATAAATTGCTTTGACTAGTAGTGCTTCAAAAATTAAACTACATTAAAACTTTTTAAGTTTTCTTTATCTGAGAAACGTCTGTTCATTTCCGATGCCCATTTTTGGATTGGGTCTTTAAATTTGGGAGGTCTGGTTTTTTGAAATTTTTTATATATTCTAGATAGTAGACCTTTGTTTGAGGACTGGCTAGTAAAAAAGTTTTCCCATATTTTGGGTTGCCTCTTCACTCTGTCAGTGGTTTCTCTTGCTGTGCCCAAGCTCTTAAAAAGAAGGGATCCCAGTTGTTGATTCTTCGTGCTAGTTCATGTGCAACTAAGGTATTGTTCATGAAATATTTTCCTACCTGCTACCGACCGTAGGGGAGCAAAGACTGGATTTCACGAGGAGTACAGGGATCTTCAGAAAGGTGGGAGCAGGATCGGCGGCGACAGTCAGAAACCACACAGCACTGAGTAGTGAAGGTAGTAGCTGCTGCAATTTTATTTCTAACTCTAGATGTATATATACTAGTTTCAAGGGCACACTTCAAGAGTGATTCCAGTCACAGGCAGGCATGAGAAAGATAGACAATAGTACTGTAAAAGCTAAGACCACAAGGTCAAGGTAAGACCACACCTATATGCAGTCAGAAGGGGAAGTTTGTAAAACAAAGGACTGGTTTCAGCATGTCACCTTCAGGATCACCTTCAGGATTTCACAGTCCGGGGCTCAGGGTCAGCACTTTGGCCGCCCGTCCTCTTGTGCCCCAATACCTCCCCATCTCTAGGAACATCTAATTGTTCTTTATCTTTCCTGGGCCCAGAATACAATTCTACAGATAATGAACAAATAGTAATAAAGACAAAATAGAACAGAATTATAAATGAACCCAATGTCCCCAAACTGCAGGCAGAGAGGCCAGCTATTCTCTTCACGGCTGACTTTGCATGCGGTGTGTGCCAAGGACTTCCAGGAGGCTTAACCCTGTGGGGACGACACCTCGGGTCTGGTTTCTGCCAGGTGACTGGCATTGTCACGCAGACTCCACTGGAGTGGTCGTGGCACCTACCCAAATGTCTTCGAGAGTTCTACCTAACCTCTCTTTCAGCCAGTTTAGCGTTTCTATGATCTTGGATCCATTTCAATTTTAGTTTAGTGCATGTTGAGAGATATAGGTCTAGTTTTAATCTTTGGAAAGTTGAAATCCAATTTTTCCAGCACCATTTATTAAAGAGGCTGTCTTTCCTCCAGTGAGGGTGTTTGGCTCCTTTGTCAAAGACGAGGTCACTGAGTATGTCAAAATTTATTTCTGCATCTTCTAATCTGTTTGTGTCTTCTAGTCTGTTCCATTGATCCTTGGATCTGTTTCTTTGCCAGTGCCATGCTGGTAACCAACATGATGTTCTGATATACTTACTAAAATAGTTACTATAATCACATCAACTTACAGTCTCTTGCATAGTTACCTTTCTTTGTGTAGTAAAAGCATAAAAGTCAACTGTCTTAACAAATTTCCAGTATGCAATACAATAACTGCAGCACTCATGTTTTGCTTAAATTTCTGAACTTACTCATCCTATATATCTATAACTTTGTACCTTTTTACTAATGTATTTTCTCATTTCCTACTGCTACTGCACCCCTGGTAACCACCATAATATTCTCTATGTATTTTTCTCTTTTTTTAATTTTTATTTTAAATTCACATATAAGTGAAAGCATGCATTACTTTTTGTCTGCTCAGTTCGTTTCACTAAGCATATCCTTCAGATTTGCCTATGAAATCTGATAAAAATAAAATGAATGTTTAAATTTTTAAATAAGTATTACAATATATCGCCATTAATCTACCTTGCAAAACTCCCCCTTGCTTCTTCAAACTCAACCGTCGTTCTTCCTAGTTTCTGAAGTGGTTATGGAAGTTTTCTTTGATGAGTGTTTCAGTTGTGCTACTGTGGCTGTTCCTTGCACTGAATCAATTCAAAACGTTTACTTTTCGCAATCATTTGGACTTTGGGGAACAGCTAGAGGTTGCACTGTGCCAAATGCAGTGGATAAGGTGGATAAGAGCAAAATGTAACATTTTTACAACCTGTCTCTCTGTAGGATGACACTCAGTGGCAGCATTCCTTATTTATTTATTTTTATCACACCCCATAAAGACACAAAAGAGGATTCCAGAACTGCTTCATAAAGTGGCAGGAAAAATGAAATAAGTGTTCAAAGCAAGGAAGAGGATTTTGAGGATTTGTTGCAGTGTGTCTTTTAATATAATTTTTAAAAATTTAAACATTAACTGTATACTCATCAGTTGGCCTTTAATGGACACTTAGGTGGTTTCCATATGCTATAGAATCATAGTGGATAGTGGAGAGGAGATATCTCTCAAGTGCAGATTTCATTTCTTTTGAGCGTATCTATTAGATAGAAGGATTGGTGGGTCATATGGTAACTCTATTTTCA